AGGACGTGTTTCAGATTGATTTTAGATCATTTTTCCTTCATGTTTGATTGCTGGTGTAATCTGGTTTCTGGTGCCTCATTTGGTCTTCGCGATCACGAAGTTTGTGATGCGATCACATAGAGGGAGAACTGGAGCTTTGAAGTTTCTTAATCGCGGTCGTGATTTGAGGGAAGCGATCGCGTACCTTGGAGCTGGTCACTGTTCGCGTTCGCATGGTGTAGGACGCGTTCGCATAGAGTAAAGAGAGGGCAGCTGGGAATTTGAGTTTCTTCTACGCGTTTGCACAAGTGCCGCCGCGTTCACGTAGTGTGGGAGCAGTGTGTTCCGCATTCCCACGGTTCAATCCGCGATCGCGTAGTGTATGTTGAGAGGCTGGTAAGTTGTTTTTTGCATTAACGGAGACTTGTTCGCGATCACATAGAGTATTTTGGTGGCATTGTTTCTTTGTTCATCGCGAACACGATGGACTTTCCGCGTTTGCATAAAAGGAATGCTTGGGCTGATTATAAAGTACTCTATTTCGGGGATTTCAATCATTTTTACATTTTTGGAGCTATGGAGTTTGGATTGAGGCAATTCTTGAAGCAATTTTCACCACGTGAATTGGTGTAAGTGTTCTCTACTCATTTTTTATTTTATATCATGAATATATCTTCATTTTCAGCATTTGAATGAGGGTTCCAAAACAATTGTAGTTTTCCCGTGCGCAATTGAAAATGTGAGCATTTTTGTCTTCCATCGATTTTACATAAGTAGAGAAAAACAATATTGCTCGGTTTTTAAATTTTGTTTTGGAACTGATTAATTTTAACAATAGGCATGTAACTTTAGAAGGGACTTAAAGATTATTACAATCAGAAAATTACTGTATTGGTCTCCCCTTCAATAATGGCTAATATAAAATATGATAGAAGACCTAGAAGGAGGCCATATTCTCTGGATAATCTAGAAAGATGGCGAGCTAGGGAACATACAAGAAACAGGAAGTACTGGTAATATTAGATACCAGAACAGACATCAATCCCAATACACTAATCAAAAGATACAGAAAATTTTGAATTAACCTAGTCCTCTCTTAATTCCGGTAAATATTGCTCCATCAGTTTTAGTTTACGTGAATATATATATTTTTTTGATTTGTTTAAAAAAGAATGATCCCTTTTAAATTTGGAAGCAATTTTGCTTAAACTTATAATTCTATCCTTAACGAGAAACTTTTATAACCACACATATACTCTGGGTTCTTTTTTGACTTGTTTAGAACCACAAATTCCAAAAATCTTCATTTTTTTTAAAACTTCGTGCTCAGTCAAACAGGTTCACATAAATTAGAACGGAGGGAGTAACTAATAGCCACATATGGAAGCAGATTGGTGCAGCAGCAGCATATGTACAACAGTCCATGGCCGCAAGGATTTCAGAGTCTGCAATCAGAAAATTACCACAACCATTTAAAGCATGTTGGTCCAAGAACCTGAACAAATACCCATTTACATTTCAGTCATTCAAGATTCCAACATATACAAATTGTTATGGGCAGACATTTGTAAGTAAATTGCTTTTAAAGTACCGGGGACATAAACTACACTAAACGGCATATTTAATCAAAGCTATAAGGAGCTCTACAGAAGATGAGCTGGACAAGTGCAAATAGATCCTCTCACACCCTTTGGGAAAACGACTATATTACATGGAATTGAGTGTCATCTCACAAAGGCTCAAAGAGTTCACAAGACAAAAGTTGTCGAAGAACAGATTAAACTAGATATATGAACCTATAAAACTGGAAAACTCTTTTTGATAAAGTAAAGTGGACAAAATTAGAACTATTACATCTGACAGAGAGTGCAAATACGCACAGACCTCCAAATGCACTGGTCTATAGGTTTCACAATACAACAATTGAGATTTTAATGGTGTAGTATAGGGTAAAATTGGTTTCTAACAGACGGTCGAATGGTAACATGATACGTGGAACTAGAGGTAGGCAAAGAACGAGTCGGGAAATAGTCAATAATGATACAACGAGTGTGGCCGGCACCGGATAGATTCCGAAAGGAACGTAGTCGACAGTATAAGCTCAAGGGTTTGCCATCAGATAACATTAAATAAGGGAATATTCACCAACATTAAATGAGCAACCGTTGCAGGAAATATTTGCATTAAAGGCTTGTTGTTACATAATCATCAATGACTCTATTATTATCTTTAAGATGAGTTTGATCCTAGGATCTTGTTTCCCTAAGTAGAGCTATAAATAGCGGGGTCAGTAACCATTGTAAGGACATGCAATTTTATACACACAAAAACTTTACTTCACTATTTTTGCTCTAAATTCAACATATTTATTATCACTTTGTTGTTATTCCCATTTGTGCTCTCACAGACGCTGAATTCGAAGCAGGCCTTGTTATTTTCTTCCATTTCAATCGTAAAATCTCAATTTTAATCTGATCTCTTTATCATTTTTGGATTATATTAATTCTGTTACGACCCCAATTTCTCACCTTATGATCTCGTGATGGCGCCTACTCTCTAAGACTAGGTAAGCCTAACACATGTTGGGTTATTAATAAATATGAACTACTAAATCATTAATTCATTAACTAGTGATTGGCATAGATAGCTGCAATGGCTAATAATTATACATTTCCCAAAATCGGCAATACGAAGTCATAAGCTCTACTGAATTACACTAGAATTTTTAAATGTAATACTGTTTTGAATTACAATTTGACAGTAGCATAATGAAGTAAGATGGTTACTCCGAGGCCTGCGAAAGTCAAATAGGTATACATTGAAGTCTCCCATCGCACAGACGCAACCCTCAACATCACGATTAGAAACACCTGGGTCTGCACAAAAATGTGCAGAAGAGTAGCATGGGTATACCACAATAGTACCCAGTAAGTATCAAGCCTAACTGTCACGACCCAAAACCCAACTAGTCGTGATGGCACCTAACCCAACCCGCTAAGTAAGCCAACTAATAACTTTCAAATTCCTATAATATTTAATAAGCAATTAATAAAAGAAATTATCTGAATCTTATACATTCCCCAAGGACTGGTAGTACAAATCATGAGCTTCTAAGATTAGAATTTACAAAGCTGGTATGAAATGAATACATCATCTTTTCGAAACGTACATAAACGGAATTTTATAAATCCAAGGCTACCATGAACAAGAGGCAGCTACAACCGGAATACATGTACGTCTTCAATTCTAGCTCCCGTCAATCACAGCAACATCAGCAGCCAACATCTGCACGCAAAGTGCAGAAGTGTAGTATGAGTACAACCGACCCCATGTACTCAGTAAGTAACAAACTTAACCTTAGGTTGAAAGTAGTGACGAGCTGGAACAAAGGTCGGATCCAACACCAATAGCCAAAAATAATTCATAACGTAAAGCATGTAATAGAAGAAGTAACTAAGAGATAAAAAAAATAGCTCAACTTATTCATAGTTCCCGAAAATAGTTCCGCTTTTCAAGTATATCAGTGAAAATCCAAGTCATTTACCAAAATTGCCAAAAATGTGAGTAAGTTTGAAAGCTGTAATTTTTCCCAAAATCTTTTCACGGTAAATGCTTCATTTTCAAATGACATGAGGAAAATACATCTCTATGATTATATGTCAATATGTGTGAGAAGTCAAGAATGACGTGATACCGTACAACATGAGAAAAATGCGTATTTATGCTTGTATGTCAAGCGTGCATGTTAGATGCGGTGCAACTATGATAATACCATATGCATACTCTCAGAGTATGAATTCACTCAGACCTCCGAGTCACTCAGTCCTCACATCCACTCAGTCCTCACAGCCAGTCATGTTAATTATAAGTTTCAATGATGAAAAGTAATATATTACATTTGGTGTAGGGTCTCAAGGAATATATTAAAGGGATTCAAGAAGCAATACCAGTCATAAATAGATCAAGGGAAAGAATCAATGATCAACAACGCAAAAGGAAAAAGTAGCGGAGATCCGGCAAGAACAGTCAATCAGTGATTGACCGAAGCTAACAAGGAAAATGATCAGCGATGAAAAAGGAAGAAACAACGGAGATCTGGCAAGGATAATCAATTAGAGATTGATGGAAGCTATTACTAGAAGGTCCCAAATCAAAGGGAAATGCAATCACTGAAAATTAATGAAGCCAAAAATAAAGGGATCCGGCGGATATGACTCAAGTACCACAGAAATATGCCCATCCGATGGAAAGCTCGTCAAGACCATAAATCAAGGAAGATTAACAGTAACTTAACTTTATTCTTGAAAAGAATCAATCTATGATTACTTTCAAGGATCAAATCCCTTGGGTTTGCAATCTCTCAAGATTCTTGAAGGCCTCATGGAAAGTATATATACAGACGTTCCGGACCTGAAAAGTACATACGTTGAACAAACCATCTACCCTCTTTTTGTTCTACTCCAAACAAATATTGTAGTTCCTTTAGATCTGTTGTGTAATTAGTGAGAGAAGAAAAAAAGATAAACACTGATGAGGCATTGTCTTAAGAAAAGAAAAGAGACATACAGACTAAGTTATTGGTGTAAAGCTACACCATTCATTCTGTACTCAAGAAACATCGATCACTGAAAGAGAACACCCTTGTAACCCAAGGGGACTGGACTAGGATTCACATTGAATCCGAACCAGTATAAAAATTTTGGTGTCTTTATTTCCTGCATTTTATTTTTGCATTTACTACTATCCTGTTCTTATTTCTAGTCGACTAATTGGTAAACTAGTCAACTACTTATAAAAGTTTTTAAAAATAAGCAATTCACCCCCTCCCCCTTGTACTTTCAATTGGTGTCAGAGCTAGTCTCACACTTCTTTGCTTAACAGCTTGTGAGAAAAGATCATGGCAAATCAAGTTATTATTGGGGCACTCTTTCAAGAAGGAACATCGCAAATTAGGCCACCATATTTCAATGGACAACACTTTTCTCAGTGGAAAGTGCATATAAAAATATATGCAAAGTCTTATGACGTCAAAGTTTGGCGAGTTATCAAAAAAAGGAAACTATCAACTACCAACAGTTGTTCAACCACCTGCTGATCCAGAAGATATAGATGAATACACAGACGAGCAGATGGTAGTTTTTCAAGCCAATGCTAAAGCAAGAAACTTACTCTATAATGCTACAAGTGGAGAGGAATATGAAAAAATCTCTATTTGTGATGCGGCCAAAGAAATATGGGATAAACTAGAAGTTACTTATAAAGGAACCAGCAAAGTGAAAGAGACTCACATCAACATGTTAGTTCATGACTGCAAACTTTTCCAGATGAAACAAGGAGAATCCATTGAAGAAATGTTTGCGAGGTTCAGCGAAATCATTAGCGATCTAAATGCTTTTGGTAAACCATACTCAAGTGGAGATCAATTTAAGAAAATTATGAGGAGTCTACCTACCACTTGGCAGACAAAAATAGTTGCACTTGAATCATAAGATCTAAATAAACTCTCTTATGATGAGCTTCGAGGAGATCTTATAGCATTCAAAAAAATTCACCTCAAGAAAACAAACCAGGAAAAAATGAAGAAAATAGCTGCTTTCAAGGCTACAACTGAAAGGATAGACAGTGATATTGATGATGACCCTGAAGCTCTTGAAGAAGAGATTTCCATGGTATCAAGGAACATGGATGGTCTAATGAGACGATACAGAAACACAAGAAGAGGTAGGATACCGCCTAGGCAAACCAGGCAATATAATGAACAAGACAAGAATGATGGAAAATGCTATAAGTATGGAAGATATAGGCATGTTCAAGATGAATGCCCAGATCTTAAAAGAAAGGTTTCCAGAGGATTCAACAAGAACAAATCATTTGGAAGCTGGAGTGATGAAGACAATTCAAAAACCCGAAGAGATAGAAAATCTATGCTTCATGACACTACTGGAAAACGACATGAACAAACTCTCAGGCTGCTGGACAGATGAAGATGCATCAGACGACGAATACAAAGATGATAATGAGAATTGTTTCATGGCACGAGGTGAAACAAGCGAGGTAAGATGTTACAATTATGAAAGATGTAATGAATTGCAGGATATTCTTGACCTTACTTTAAAAGAGTCTCAAAAAATGATGAATGGACTAAAGAGACTCAATAGGGAAAAGAAAGAATGGAAACTCAAGCTTGAAGTATGTGAAATTGAAAAAGGAGATACTTCAAGATGAATTTCAAGAAATGCAAATGCAATACAATGGCATGCGCAAATCAAACAGTCATAGTTCTGTCAAGTCAAACTAGGCGACTTATAAGTCAACTCAAAAAGGACCAGCTAGAACAGAGTCTACTAGTACTAACACAAGTGGAAGATCCAAGAACGGATCAGCCCCTGTGTGCCACTACTGCAACAAAAGTGGACATAAGTATTCCTTTTGTCTATTTCTTAAATCTAATGTTTCAGGGTGGATTTGGAAACACAAAAACAACCCTGATCTTAGTAATACTAACTAACAAGGACCCAAGCAAGTTTGGGTACCTAAAAGAAAGTGATAATTATGTTTTGCATGAACACTATAGGAAGAGCCGCAAAGGAAAATTGTACTTAGATAGTGCGTGTTCCAGTCACAGAACAGGTGACAAAAACCTGTTCAAAGAAGTTACGAAGATAAATGGAGGAAGTGTTAAATTTGGTGATGACTCAAAAGGGAAGATAGTCGGCACTAGCACAGTTCCAGTCAATAACAATTATGATATCACTGAAGTTTACCTTGTAGATGGACTCAACTACAATCTTCTGAGTATAAGTCAGCTATGTGATTTAGGGTATGAAGTAAAGTTCAAGAAAACAGGTTGTGCTATTGAAGATGAGACAGGTAAAATAATCCTCCCAGGAAAAAGTTATGAAAATATTTATATTCTTGATGGTTTTGAAAATCTAGATGGTAACATTTGCTTAACATCCATATCTGATGATCCATGGTTATGGCATAAGAAACTTGGTCATGCAAGCATGCATATTATAGATAAACTCTCCAAGCATGATTTAGTTATCGGTCTCCCTAGACTCAATTTTTCTAGAAATCATGTATGTGATGCATGTCAAATTGGTAAACAAGCCAGGAACTCTTTTAAAAACAAAGACATTGTGTCGACATCAAAGCCTTTACAATTGCTTCATATGGATTTGTTTGGATCCACCAGAACTGCTAGCATAGGATGAAAACAATATATTTTTGTTATTGTTGATGACTACTCACGTTTTACATGCGTGATTTTTCTATCTCACAAAGATGAAGCTTTGAAAATCTTTGAGATCTTCTGTAAAAGAATTGAAAGAGAAAAGTGGTATCTTATTACAACCATTCAAAGCGATCATGGAGGAGAATTTGAAAGCAGAGCATTCGAAGACTTCTACAGTGATTAAGGATACACCCACAACTTCTCATCTCCAAGATCACCCCAACAAAATGGAGTAGTTGAGCGAAAAAATAAAACTCTGCAAGATATGGCGAGAACTATGATACTAGAATATTTCTTGCCAAATCACTTTTGGGCAGAAGCAGTAAGCACAACTTGCTACATTTTCAATAGATGCCCATAAGACCTATCTTGAAGAAAAATCCATATGAACTATGGAAAGGGAAACGACCCAACATAAGTTATTTCCATCAGTTTGGGAGCAAGTGTTTCATCCACAACAATGGTAAGGACAATTTTGGAAAATTTGATCCATGAAGTGATGAAGGTATTTTTCTAGGTTATTCCCTAAATGGTAGATCTTTTAGAGTTTATAATAAACGTACTCTATATGTAGAAGAATTAGTACATGTTATATTTTATGAAAATAACACTATGGCTGAGAAAGGAATTATTGCAGGTGATGAAGCTCAAAATCAAGAAACACCTCGGTCAAGCAAACCTCAAGAGACGACTGACAGGCTAGACGGTGTCACTAAGTCAACTAATGAGATTAGCAACAGTCAACCAGAATCACAAAAGGAGTCAACTACTCATACGAGCGTAACACGTCCAAATGAATGGAGAAGTGAACCAGAATATCCTCAAAGGTTCATCATAGGAGACCCAAGTGAAGGAATAAAGACCAAGGGAGCTCTCAAGAAGAAGACAAACATAGCACTGATCTCTCAGATTGAACTAAAGAAGATAGAGGAAGCTCTAAAAGACTCAAGTTGGGTACAAGCAATGCAGGAAGAACTGGATCAATTTGAAAAAAACCAAGTGTGGAAACTACTGCCTAAGCCTGTAGACGTTACTGTAATTGGAACAAAATGGGTTTTCAGAAATAATCTCAATGTGGATGGAAAGATTGTGAGAAACAAAGATATATTAGTAGCTCAAGGATACTCACAACAGGAAGGGGTCGACTACGATGAAACCTTTGCTCCAGTAGCTCGACTGGAGTCAATAAGAATTCTTCTTGCATACGCATATTTCAAAAGATTTATACTTTTCTAGAGGGATGCCAAAAGTGCTTTCTTAAATGGCTTCATTGAGGAGGAGGTATATGTAAAACAACCTCCTGGATTTGAAGACTCAAAGTTTCCTTACCATGTGTATAAGTTGACCAACGCATTGTATGGACTTAAACAAGCTCTACGAGCATGGTACAAAAGACTTAGCTCATTTCTACTTGATCAAGGCTTTATAAGAGGTGAAGTAGACGCTACATTATTCATCAAAGATCATCGGAAGGTACTCTTATTATTCAAATTCACGTTGATGACATTATCTTTGGTAGTGCTAACCCTCTTTTGTGCAAGGAATTTTCCAATCTTATGCAATGTGAGTTTGAAATGAGTATGATGGGAGAGATCACATTTTTCTTTGGACTTCAAATCCAACAATCTGAAGAAGGAACCTTTATATGCCAGACAAAATATACAAAGGAGCTAATTCAAAAGTTCGGTATGAGCAGTGCTAAAGCTATTGGCAAACCAATGAGCCCGTCCACAAATCTTGATAAAGATGAAAAGGGAAATCTTGTTGATTAAACCAAATATCGAGGAATTATTGGCTCTTTACTTTACCTAACTTCCAATTGACCAGATATCATGTTTAGTGTATGTAAATGTGCCATGTTTCAGTCAGCTCCTAAGGAGTCACATCTGACTGCCGTAAAGAGAATAATTTGTTATCTCATTGGAACTATTTCTTACGGACTATGGTATCCACGCTCTAATAATTTTAAACTAGAAGGGTTTTTTAGATGCTGATCTTGCAGGTGATAAGGAAGACAGAAAAAGCACCAACGGGACATGTCAATTACTTGGAAAATCACTGATATCATGGAATAGTAAGAAACAAGGATCAGTTACACTATCCACAACGGAAGCCGAATATATCGCAATTGGACAATGTTGTGCACAATTATTATGGATGTCTCATCAACTGTGTGACTATGAACTAATTTTTAAACCTATTCAAATATTCTGTGATAACTCTAGTGCTATATGTCTTTCAAAGAATCATGTGCATCACTCTAGGGCTAAGCATATAAACATCAAACATCATTTCATTAGAGATCTTGTCTTCAAGGGAGATATAGAATTATCCTTTATTGGCACTACTGATCAATTAGCAGATATTTTCACTAAGCCTTTATTTGAAGATAAATTTTATCTTCTAAGAGGACTACTTGGTATTATTTCTCTAGATCATAAAAATTGGGACCTATTTGATATTTGTAAATTCTTGTATGCTTAATGTTTTAATTTTGTATGTTTGTACTCATTAATATAGCGCTTCTAATTTCCCTCTCTTTTTCCGTCAGTTGCAGCTTTCAAGAAAGGAAAATCAATGATCATGACCTTTCACTGACACCCTTTCCTTTCTTGTACTCAATCATCAGAATTTCGCCTTTTAATCTCTGAACCACTCTTCTCTGTCTCCATCATTCCTATCGCTCAAAATCCTCTTTAGAAATCCTTCAAATTCTTTCCCAACATATTCTCCCATGGCTAAACACTCCAAAAACCCTTCTGCCTCCACTAGAAAAAGTACTCATTCCAGTGGAAAACCCTCTTCTCACCCTCCAGAACCAGTAAACCTAGGTTTTGACCACTCAGAAGGGTTTGCCTCTTCTTAGGCAGAACTTTGAGATCACTCTCACTTAGGATAAAAAGCCCTAGGAAAAAGGCCCATGGAAGACTCCCATGAATCTCTTACCCCCAAGATATCCAAAATAGACTTTTCATGTTTTCTAGAGTCAGACCTCAATTTCGGGGATACCCCAAACAGGGATTTCTTCGTTGCTCTGAAAGACAAGCCCATTTCTCATGGTAGAGTAGTCGACCTTGACGACATTGAAGCCCTCAATTGTAAGGTAAAGGATATATTGGTCTTTCAAGGATGGTAAAAATGCCTCTCTGTACCCCCTCCTAAAGTCTATGAACCCTTAGTTAGAATGTTTTATGCAAATCTTTGCTCTAGCAAGCCTGATAAGTTGGAATCCCTAGTTTTAGGTAAACACAT